TTTATTCCAGGAAAAACAGGAAAAATATTTTGGTTTAAAAAAGGACAAAATGTACAGTTCTTGTTTCTGTTAGAATTTCCTAAATCTTTAGAGTTTTTCACAATTTAATCATTGGCATAAAACTCACAATTCATAAGTATGAAAATTTTAAGTGCCTTTATTCTAGTAGTAGATACTTGGGGTACTTACCTCTATGGGTTTTTCTTGCAAGATTAATACAACTGCAGAGAAAGACCTACATAAAACAATCCTATTATATCAGTTATTACATTTTTGCTGAGTGTGACAGGGTCCAATACTCATTTTGGTGGTATTTCTGCACTGATGTATAACATAAAGCTTTCAGGGTGCTGTCATCATGCTTTCCTTTCCTATCTCCACATGGCCACTGGCAGCATTAACTGCAGAACCTCTTGAAACTTCTAGACCAAGGTGACCATACCCTGCTTCACTGCCACCTCTCCACTTGCCTTTTGGCTGTCTGGAGCTTCATCAGGACAGTTGCATATCCCAGGGCCTCCTCTTCTCCTTCTGGGTGCTAGATATTTTCTGTGGTCATGGGGCACACAGGTTGCTGGAGCTCAGTTACCTGAAGTGCCTTGTAGGACTTGGGTTTGGTCTACAGAGCCTAAGGCCACTGCATGGTTTGCTTATGGCTCTTCTGGTTAAAACACACAGTTCAATATGTAATGAGGCAGCACAGGAATCTCCTGGAGCTCTTGAAAAGGTTTGAAACCCCCAAAAATCCAATTTCCAAGGTTCCCCACAATTTGTTTCAGTGTGAGAGGGTTTTCAGACATAATACATCTACTTACATGGGGAAATTATATCAAAGTTTATTATTAACACAATAAATACTATAGAAACTAAAAGGCAAATAAATACACAGTATTAATACAATCTCTACTACCCCTGGGGTCCTTCCACATCAATCCAGAAGAAGAACCCTCCAGGATGATAGCTAAAGTCTCTCTCTCATTGGGGTATCAAGGAAGGGGTCTTCTTTACCCCCACCAGTTGCTTGGTCTCTGCTGAGGTCTCCTCCTGGACTACAAAGGAACACTTGTTTTACCAGGCCTTCATCACGATTCACAGGGGGTCAGCTTTAGAGTCCTTTCCCCCCATTTCATGAAGGTTCCTTCCAGAGAGTAAGATGTGCACTCTTGCTCTCCAGGGTGCAGAGTTTCTGGGTTTTGCTCAGTCTTTATACCCCAAATACTTTTCACCAAAAGTCCTTACCTAGAAAAAGCCTGCTTGGTTTGGCTTCTCTCTGTGCCAGCTGCTGCATCAGCTTGGCTTCCACATGTTACAGGGAAAGCATTCCTCCCCCTGCATTCCTCCTTTGGTTTTCGGCTGCCCCCGCCCAAACCTCGCGTAGGGCCTCCTCCGAGCCCTTCAGCCCGTCTCTCTGTTGTGCAGTCTCAACTCAGGGTCACCTCCTCCCCCGCCATTGTGGAGGGGGGACAGTGGCAGCGAGACTTTCTCTCATCCTCTGCCTGGCATTCTTCCAGCTCTGCACTATCTCCGCTGCTTCTGCAGCTCCTGGGCCACCCCTCTGCCCGTCTCTGGCTTGGCTCCAATGCCATGCCAGCCTGCTGGGAGCAGGGGGTAGCTTCAACCACCTGGCTGGCCTCTCAAGTTCACGCCACTGCCTCTCCTGGGCAATTTGGGGGAAAGCCCGCTAGCCTTTGGCCACAGGCACCCAGTCCAGTTATAATACTGTTCCCACCCCGGGGGGGGGAAGAGGACCTGCCCCCCCACAAGGGGCCCACAGGCCTCTCTCCCTCCTCTCATGGCTTCGAATCTCTGTCTCTCTCTGCCAACAACTTCCTTCCAGCTGTTGTAATATTCTAATTTCACAGGGGTAAAACGCAGCTCTGATTGGCCCCGATTGGAAACTCACCTGGGACCAACCACTTCCAGGTCCCCCGGAAGTGGGGCATCATCATCATATTTTTGAGCATCTCAAAAATATTTCCTTTTTTCCCGATTTATTTTACCCCCACCCCAAGCCATGTCCTACACAGAACAGAGCACTTCTTGAGCCCCATCATTTGCTGGCTGTAAAGTGGCCATTTATTTCTACAGGTCAGTGCCTGCCTCTAGCAACTTCTCACTCCTGTACCCACTGATCTTCCTTATGGGGGATTTTGTCAGAAGTTTAAATGACTGAAGTCAGCATTTCTCTCCTCCTACGTACCATCTTGTTGATGTCACAGAGAAGATCAATATGTATAAGCTCGGGAAGAACTGTTTGCACCTAAAGGAGTCAGCATGGTTAACCACAGTGACCTGTTTCTGCACAGGAAAAAAGAGCTGCCGTCTCACACCAGGCCACGAACTACCCCAGCAAAGTGACATACTGCCACCCTACACAGCACAGTCCAGGTAGTGCTGGCTCTGAAAGGGAGGAGAAAAATTATACTTGCAGTGTGTGGAGAGCATTGGTACCCGAGGAGACACTGCCAGGTTCCACCAGTTTGCTCCTGCCTAACTGCCAAGATTAAAGCCTCTGATAAGGCTGCATCAGACGCTATTCTCTGACATGAGGAATGTCACACTTATATTGTATTTTTCTTAGGCTTATCCTGCACCTTGTTCCTTTCTGTATTCTGTGCCTAAGCAGCAGTAAGCAGGGCAGGGATGGATTGCCTTTATACTGTGATGTCTTCTGCCTATGTCACCTCACTAGAGCCATGTGCTCTCTCTGGTGGTTTGCACCAGGCCAGCACAGCCAAGGGTTCATTGCTCTGTGGTCTTTGACATGAAAGGAGATGGTTAAAGTCAAGCTCTCCATCACTCAGCAGTTTGTACTTCTTGTTGTGCTGTGGGCTTAGGTTTTTATGCCTCTAAGGCCTTGCACACTGTTGGAAAGTATATCCCATTGCCATCACTTTAGATGACCCTGGCAATAGGCTGGGCACAAGTTACCTTGTGCACCTCCACAAACATAATCTGTGTGCCTCAAAGCCTTGCAGGTTGTTCAGCTCCCATAGCACTGTTATCTTGTCTCTGCCAGTTGCTCATCTATGTCCTGCCTTTACCTCAACCAGTGCTCACTGGGCTCATTTACATCCACTCTTGTTTTCTAATGAGTAGATGAACAGAAAGAGGAAAGTGTTCATAAAATGTCCCTCCAGCTGAAGCATTCTTTATTGCTCCCATTGAGAAAAGTCTAATTTACACTGGGAGTTTTTCACAGCTTGCTTTGGTGGGGTTTGGGTTTGTTTGTTTCTTAAATAATTAATCCAAGGTAGTAAGGCCCTCTGTCTACGTGGAAAGCAGCATACAGTCCTCCTGAAACTGCTGCCCTCCGCTGCTGTTTTCTGTCTGAAAAAGGGAGGAAAAGAGTTTCAAAGAAGAGACTGTTACTGGGAAAACACTAAGACAAAAAAGGAGGACCAAGGACAACTGGAAAGAACTACCTCACCCTTCATCCTGCATGTGTCATCCCTCTCCACACCTCACTTCTAGTTACCATCTCCACATCAACCTTTTCCTCTTGCTGGCATGAGACCCACCTGCACTTGACCTACATCAACAAACAAGGCTTACACCTAAGAGCCTGTAGGGGGTTGACCCTGGCTGGATGCCAGGTACCCACTAAAGCCACTCTCTCCCTTCCCTCTGCAACTGGACAGAGAAAGAGAAAAGAAAACAACGAAGGATTTATGACTTGAGATAAGAGCTGGGAGAGGTCACTTACTGATCATCATAGGCAAAAAAGTGGGGATATTAATTAAACTTATTACTAACAAGATCAGAACAAAAGAGTAAGAAGTAAAATAATCTTAAAAACACCTTCCCCCCACCCCTCATTCCTTCCAAGTTCTACCTCCTCCCCCTCAGTGGTGCAGGGAGTCAGGGAATGGGGGTTACAGTCAGTTGTTCTTTCTGCCACTACTCAGGGAGAGGAGTCCTTACCCTGCTCCCATGGGGTCCCTCCCACAGCAGACAGTCCTTAATGGACCTCTCCAACATAAGTCCATCCCACAGGCAACAGTTCTTCATGAAACTGCTGTCCCATGGATCACTTCTCCACAAGGTACAGTCCTTTACAAATGAGCTGTACCAGTGTGGGTCCCCCACAGAGGACACAAGTCCTACCTGAGAAAAACCTACTCCAGCATGGGCTCCTTTCTCCATGGGCTGCAGGTCCCCAGCAGGACCCTGCTTCATCTTGGGCCTCCCACGGGGTCACAACCTCCTTCAGATATCCATCTGCTCCAGCATGGGTTTCTCCATGGGCTACAGGAGGGTCTCTGCACCCCAATGATCCTCCATGGGCTGCAGGGGCACAGCTGCTCCACCATGGTCTGCACCACGGGCTGTACAGGGGCCTCAGCTCCGGCACCTGGAGCGTCTCCTGCCCCTCCTTCTGCGCTGACCTCTCTGTCTACATTGTCGTTCACGTGTCCCCGCTCCGCTCTTCCCTGGCTGGAACTTTCATCTGTGCAACAACCTTCTGTTCTTAAATATGTTATCACAGAGGCATTGCTATCACTCCTTATTGGCTTGGCCTTGGCCAGCGACAGGAAGTCCGTCCTAGAGCTGGCTGGTATTCTCTTCACCAGATAGAGGAAGCTTCTAGCAGCTTCTAACAGAAGCCACTCCCAGTGCCTTCCCAAGGTGCCTGCAAACACTATCTGCCCAGATTCACAGTGAGAAAATGGTCAGAAGAGTTTAGAAATGCTGGAGTAACCTGGAAACCCACAAACTGGACCAGGAAGGCAAAAGATAATTCACTAGCCAAACTGGATATAGCTTTCTTTGCCTTTCAATAAAGAGACTAGCAGAAGTGCTCTCACACAGTCAGTCTTAAAGAAGGGCATCATCACATTGCGACAGCCACAAGTTTACTTTGTTTTCATTATCACTACCCAAAGAAGAGTTAAACACACACAAGAAGACTGCGTCACAGAGAATCACCTTCTATAAAAAGCCCATTTCATAATAGGTGACTGTATTATCTTTCCCGTCTTTGGGAGTTGATGAAAAAGGAACTCATCACCAGCCACACTGTCTCCAGTATGACAGGCCAACATACAGGTGATATTTCACTCTGCTTATCAGCAAATTCATATTTCTGTCTAACATAGGACATGAAAGAACGTTGGAGGAAGTTCATGGGATGCCAGGCAATGGCCTCAAGGGAGGGGCATTTTTAAGGCTAGAAACAATAGACTTCTGTTCTTAAAATGGGGCAAACCTTCAGCATCATATGAAGGACAGATACAATTGTATGTATATGTGCATATGCATGTAAACAGATACACACACAGACTCAACAGGACAAGCATGTGCTTAGCTTAACATATCTATCAAGAGTCATAGCACTGCATTTCACCCAACCTCCACTAAAATAATTTCAAAAAACAACAAACAAGTATATCAAGATACTTAGGAAGTTTTGCAGGAGCAGTTTAATAACTGGCATCATTAAATCTTTACATGTTGATACAACAAGACAACAAAAGGGGTTGTCTCTATGAAACAACACAGCAGAGCTCACATGATCTGTGGGTCAGATGCTTATACAAGGGCAGTACTCACCCACTGCCCATAAAGCCAAAAGACGGAAGTCACAGAGAATGAAACAAGTACACAGAAGTGTCCAAGCTGTGGTGGCTGCATGTCTTGTCCAAGTTGCCAAGTAGTGACTTCACATTCACTTCTATTTCTCTTCCTGAAGAAAGTGTAGCACGTGTTCAAGCTCAAAGGCAGCCAGCTCCTGCCAAAGCTCCCTGTGCCTGCCAAATTAGCAGAAGGCAATGCATAATTTTAAACCAAGAACAGTGAGGAATAGCCATGTCACAGGGCAGCTCTTCCTTCAGTGAAGCCCCCTTACATCTCCATACTCTTTCTCTCTAAGCAGGCTTCTCCTCAAGGGGAGACACAATGGGTAAGAGTCTGCTCTTCAAAATTCATTAGGTAAACACTGAAACCCTAGGTTGCTGTCTTTTGCAGCAAGTGCCCAGATACTGATATATTGCTACAGTGTCTGACTTGTCTTAGATATGACTTTGGCAGTGAAAGGAACATCAAAATTTAGGCAGAATGAATCCTACACAAGAACCAGAAGACACAGCAATTTCCGTCGCTTCCACACTTTGGAAGCTCTTGTTCTTGGTCCACAGACTAGTCCTTCTTTACTTGGCTTCATGAGGCATCTCCTTTCTGTCCCCTGTCTTGAAGACAAAAAGTCCCATCAGTTTGTGTAGGACTAGAAGGAAGCATGCAACCTGTAATTACTGCTCCCTGTTTTCGAAGGTCCAAAGGACATTTTAAGGAAGATAGTGGGTTTCCAGAACATTAGAAAATGGTTCCTTTCAGTGTATTCGAAACAGGAAATGGTATCATCCAATAGACCTGGGCCAGAGGTTAAAAATCAGCAGACCTGAACTCCACAATTAGTTTACTAATTATCAAAGATCCACTCTGGAGCTCAATTTCTTTGTCTATAAACTGTAACTTGTGACTTTAAGTGTTTAAAATGCTTCTAATGCTGTTAATGAAAGGTGACATAAGGGAAATATTTGTTGTTCTTCTATTGAAATCGATTTTTTTTCCCTGAACATTTCTTTCAAATTAACACATTTCATTGAGTAACACTTTGTAGTGAGTTACTAGGGAACTCATCATATGAGCCTCGACAAGAAGAAAGCAGAGAACCTACTGTGATAAAACACAGCAGGAAAAGGAGGGTCTGTGCTTTCTTTCTTTTTTTTCTGACCCAGTTACTTTTGGGAAAATGTGGGGTGGTGTGCTGGAGATCTGAGGAGAGAAAAAAGTGATCATGAAAGGACAGTACTCCTTTTGAATAGGAGTAGCACTATGGTATTTAATTTATTTGAGGCTGTAGGCAAATGCAGAGTCAGAAGAGGCAGGAACCACAGAAAGCTGATTTGGTTTTGAAAATTTTAAAACCCTTGCTTGCAAATAAGTTTGGGGTTGTTTAGGGTATTTTCTCATTTGGATTTTTTCTTTTTGGCATTAACTTGGTCTCACAATCAGTGCTGTGATAAAAATTATTACTGAAGGATCTCAGAACTGAAGGAGCAGTTCTGGCTCCTTGGGTTTTATGTGCATGATGCCTAAATGAGGAGCTGTGTGCTGTGACAAATGTCTCATGTGTGCCAGCTGACTTAGAAAAGGTGACTCGGAATTTTTCAAGTTCAGTGTTTTTATTCTTTTTACAGTTCTCTGTTCTTGTCTCCTCCCCCTCAGAGTATTTCCTGTTTCCTCATTCTGTGATAGTTAAGTACACTTCAACGGTGGATCTAACACCTTTTGAGCTGTTGTCAAGTTTTATTAACATTTCCCACATCATTTCCTGTTTTTATACTAATACTCCATTAAAAGCCTGCACGAGTGGGCAATGTGGCTGATCAATACCAACTCTGAACTGCTGGCAGATCATTCTCTTCATAAACCATCACCCATTCTAAAAGATATTAAAATGTTGGTGTTGCAGACATAAATTTAGTAGACATTCAAGGAATCATTTCACCCAATAACAGAGTTCAGCCAGCTTTGAGGGAGGTGCAATAAACTTTAAATATAGCGAGACTGGACACAAACCTAGGCCAGGGAGTAGCAAAGGAAATTGCATGTACCTGAAAACACAGGAGAGAGGTATATTGGTAACAGTCATTTCATTTCATGATGCCTCTCACAAAAAATGACAAAAAAATCCCATTTTGTTTGTGCAGGCTGGAACACATCAATACCAAGTCCCATTTCTGAGGTTATGCTTCCAACAGTGCAGTGTCCTGAAGAACACTGAAGGCAGACACTAATAAATTTAAGAGAATAAATAAAGCTTCCACCAGCTTCAAAGCCACAACCGCAAGAACAAGCATTTTGCTTGCAAGCATCAAGGTCTACTAATATAATACTTAGCATGCAAGATGCCCCAGTCTATAAGTATGCCATGCCATAGGAAAATGGTCCATCAGGACCAAGTCAGCAACAAGCAGTGACTTTATGGAGGCTTTTACATTGTTCTCCCATGTAATATCCCTGCAAAATACAGCAATATTTTGCTACAGAAATACAAAATATGAGTGTCAGTAGGATGGAACAAATCTAGTGCTTTGTGTTAGCCAGCAATATTAAAAGCAGCGGACACATCAAGGCACATTCTGAATATGTCAGACAGTGACTGAAAGCAGTAGGAAAAAAGCCTGTGTTCTCCCACATCAAGCTTTAACAGGGTTTGAGGGAGGGGAGTGGAGCTTTATATGGTTAGAGGATTAAAAAGAAGTCAAATCACAAGAGAAAACCATTTCAGATCCAGTATATTTGTGTTTCTAACCAAAAGTCTGTGTTAGGAAAAAAAAAGTAACAGAGAAGTGTGTTTTTCACAATTTTCTCTTTGGTGTTTTGCTAAGTCAGTTACTTCACAGGATGTGCTATTGTCTTCACTGCCATGATGAACAGAAATACTCTGCAAGCCACTGTGGCTCATACAGTGCCCAGTGACATGAAAGAAGTGGTTTTGCTTTTAATACCAACAGACTGAAAATCAATATCTGGCAGCTTTGCCACTCACACCTGGCAGGCAACCTTCCCAGTTCAATGAGATTTTAATGCTAAGGAGAAAAGCCACTAAGTCCACTGCCTCCAGGTTGGTATTTGTTGGACTCCTGAAGTCCCAAAGTGTTTTCTATGAACCTGGTGGGGATGAAAAGAGGATCACTAACTTTTCAAGGTTTTATTTACCCTGCTGGAGCCAAGTTATTTTTCCAAAAATATTCACAACTGGGATTACTGTGTAGTCACGGTCTAGGACTACAAAAGAAAGAAGCAAAGTTTTATTTGGAAAAGCTGTTAGCACACACTGGGGACTCCACAAAAATCAGCAGCAATCACGTCCTTGCTCTGGTGATCTGAAATGAAGGCCCAGCATCAGAGAACAGGAAGTCCAGACCCTGTACAACAGAAATCAAGATCCCTTTTTTCTCCATAACCCAGTAGAACCTGGATTTCCCCATTCCCCATGAAACAAGGCCCTGAAAAAGTGGTAGGTAGGGATGGGAAAAGTTTGATGTCCAAAGATCTGGGACTACACTGCAAGAGAAAGGAGCAGACATAGGGTTATGCTTACCTCCACCAAGACCTATGGCCACCATCTGTCTGCGCACCTATAGCAAGGGTCAGCTTAGGTCATAGTAGGCTTTTCCACCTGAGGGACTTTGGGGAGATAAGAGCAGCAAGTCCTGCTCACATCAGACTTTCTCTCCAGACAAAACCAAAAGGTCTTTGTGAAGAATAACTCCAATAGCCCCTTGAAGATCCAAATCTACCTCCATGGACATGTCCTCCCTACTAACTGGCCCATGAGTTGGCTGGGATGAATCCTGCCCAGAGCTTCCTCACGGTGCAGGACCCTGCAAGGGCCAGGCTGAGCAGCCCAGGGGGACATATAGGGTCCCCCTGGGCTTTATGGAGACTCCAAGATGCAGATGAGATGGGGGGGGGGGCTTCAGGGAATCCTATGACTGAGAGCTAGCTCAGACCTCTGCACTAACAACAGTGTCACCATACCTCAGCTTCATTGTGGAAAGAAGTCAGCCTATCTGAGAAGCAAATCCTTCACCATCTAGACCCATTCATCACCATTATGCAAATATGCTTCTCCTAATGTAAATCTGTCCTGGGACACACTGCTTTTACCAGCATCACCATCAGTCCTTTATTTCCACACCATGCCTCCAAGTATTAAGGCTTTCTTAGCTCGTGGCAGGTCTTTTCCCAGAAACTACCTGGGTCAGCATTTTCCTGCAGCCAAGGAGCCATCTCTCGCCTGGGGCAGACCCCATAGCAGGGTGGGGTGAGCAGTGGTTTCCCTCCCAAGTATCTGAAACTAGTGTAGGGTTTGCCTTAGTTCACGAAGGTATGTGATGCTGAGTGTTTTGCACATGACTAGTGGCATGTATCCCAGACGAGCTGTTCGGTTTTTCTGCTTGCCCTTCTCACTGGTCATGCCTATGTACAATACGGCTTGCTCCAGTCTGGAACACTGAATGCACAACAAAACTCTCAAAGAGGGGTGAGATGAGCCAAAGTGCCAAAATAACACCTCTATGGGAGCGAGATTCCGTTCAGTTTTAAGGCAGCTACGTTTTGCAATAGGATGTTAAAGGTATGGCAGGAGATTAGTCTGTGTCACAAAATGTCAGTAAGCTTTTTATACAACCACCAGAAAAAGTCTCTTTGGTGTTTTTTTACACCTACGAAATCTTATATGTTGTCTTTTAGACACCCCAAAAATTCCCCTTAGCACTTTTATCATTCAGCATCACTCCAGAGTTTAGTCAGCCAAACCATACCCTTTCCCAGTGTTAGATAAAATGCATCTTGAAAACACCTCAGACACTAATATCACATCGTCCTAGAGCTGAGCCACATGTGAAATCTCTATCCTGTTTTTCTACAGAGATGAGTAAGATTTTCCTGTGTAATTAATATATAATATCTTTCTGTGTATTTGTGTAAATATATAGAGCAAAGATACCACTGCAAAGATAACAATTTCCCAAAGTGCTTTTCACATTCTTTCAAATATGGTTGTTTTACTTGCAGTTTACTGCATTTTAGGCGTGTTTTGACATTTGAAGAATTTTCACCGAAAATAGACCTTGTACTAATTACAAAACCAGACATAAAACTCATAGTAATAAGGAGCAACAGTAAACAACAGATGTACTATTTATTGCATATGTTTATTACGTATTAATGTAATAGAGTATTTAAGTAAAATTGAAATATTTCTAGTGTTTAATTAATGAGACTAAAATACATTATTTAAGTTACTTGCACATATATAAAAGCAATAATAATTATCATTGAAATATATTTTTGGACAGATTTTGCCACTTTCAGGCATATCACTGTCTTAAAGACAACAAATCTACTTCTGTAAGTCCTGCATAATGTGAGGAAGTCTGCAAGTTCTGTAATAATACCGAGATATAGAATAATTTACAAAAACATAAGAAAACAAAGCCCATTATCATCAGATCTGCAAAGACTTGGGAATTCCGTCGGTCTTGGATTCAATCCTTATTTAATAATTCAACACTTAATTTAAAATTATCAAATACTCAATTTATCAAGTGTTTTTACAGAGAAAGAGTTTCCTCATGGCAAGCTATGGGACCTTATGAAACAGCATGTTCTCAACAAACAACAGAATAAAATTCATGAGTCACTGATTCATGAGCAGCAAACAGGGGTCACAGAAAGACCAGAGTATGCCAAAATATGGACAACTAGCTCTCCCTATGTCTGTTAGTTTTGGAGAGGAGGCATTTGCTAAAATGCCTTCATTTATAGTGGGAAGCTTTTTCATGTTACTTTTCCTTGGTCTCACCTGTAAGTGTGATTCTTCTAATCTTTTGCAGGAATAACAGTGGTTTTTAGGCATCATCTGAAGCTCTGGAACAGGAAGGTGACAGGGAGGCTGTTTGGCTGGTTGGCATAACCAAGCCATGCTCAGACAACGAGATGTTAACTTGGCTCCACTGCTTTGAGCACGCCTAGCACAGGCCTTCCTCCTCTTCCTTCCTCCTTTTAGCCAGCCCTTGCGCCTCCCAGCTTGAAGTTTTCATATTCAAAACAAGGCTGCTTTCAGTCGCAGCTACATCTGCAGTAACCGTGACACCTGCTCAAAGTAGTGCCAGCCCTTTGCCTTCTGTCCTTTGACTGGCCCTCTGCAAAGCTGTACAGCCCGTTTATGCACCCCAGTGCATAAATACTACATTATCACCCTTTACTAACTGTAGGGTACGCTAAGGTAACACAAGATAAACAGTTTTCTGTTTTGTCTAAAACCCAAGCAATTACAGCAAGAAAAATGGCTGAGCAACCTACCATTGCCTTGGTTCTTACCCTCTGTTCTCACCTTTTTAGGATTTATTTAGTTCTTCATTAACAGACATAGGCACATAACCACATACGTGCCCTATGGCTGCAGCCCACATGTGCCAACAGATTGCCATGTCCATGGCACGCTGGGAGCACCCCACCAAGGGCAAGTTTAGGCATGAAGCCTGACCAGATCTGCCAGAGGATTACTATGTGGAAGGGAAAAAGGAAAAGGCATTTCCCAGGAAAGGTTTGGGAGTGTGAATTATTGCCAGCTTTGCTTTAAATAATTAGCACTGCTCAGGAATCCAGGCTATGCTGTCAATAGTGAGTTGTCTGGTTACACATACTGAGGTTGTCTCCACATCTGCCAACAGCATCCAAGATCCCAATGTAAAGCACTGCTCTCCCACACAGAGTGGGGCTGTGGCCCCTCTGTGAGGCCAGACCCTGTCCCAGGGCTGGGCAAAAATGCAGAGATTTCCAGACAGGGTAGCCAGCAGAGAGCAGGCAGGCACATGGAGTGCCCACTGTCCTCTTCAGACTGGAGCCCATTGCAGCATCTGACAAACTTTGCCTGTGCAAAAAGGCCAGATTCAGAGGCAGAAGCAAAAAAAGCCCTCCATTTATTTCTAAACATTTCCTTTAGTTCTAAACATTTCCTTTTCTCCTTCTCCCTCACCTCAGTACAGTCCCATCCCCAGAGTAAAGGTTAGAGGAGAGGTCCTGTTCAGTGGGACATGCTGCAAGCACAGGCACAACACAGATGTCTTCTCAATGAACAGCATCTGCCCTACTTGCACCGCATTGTCACACAATCAGATGAGTCTGTGTCATACCGAAACTAGGTTAAATGAAAGGGGTGTAGCTCTGTGAACCTTAATGTCAGCATTGTTTTGTACACTCTGAGGGTCAAGACCTGAGGGTTTTTATCCATTCTGGTACACAGAGGAGTAGGTCCACAGGAGATTTGTC